AAGCATGGTGAAGAGACCAATACCTTTCTTTGAATAGCCATCCAAAGAGAGAGGGGAATGCAAAACAGATAAGATACGTTTCCTTCAATTTAGCACATCTATCCATCAAGTTACAGCTTTTTTTAAAAATTAAATAAGGCTTTTTTAATATCTTTTAATTATACCCTTCAGACTGAGGCTTTTTCTAATAGAAAAATAATATTTTGCATCCCAGAAATTATCATGGATTTTCCTTTATTATCTAAGTTTCAAGTGTATCCCATTTTTTTTCCTTTCATATTGCTTCTCCATTTTAAATTTTTTTATTACGCCTCTATATATATATATATATATATATATATTAGAATATTGCTAAATTCATCATCAAATTTTTTTATCCCCACCTCCTTTTTATTTTTTTACATTACCAACACTCCATCCCATCAAGTCACTAAATCATAGTTAAATATGTTTTATATCAAATATCTGAAATGCCTATAAATTTTGATGTTTAGTTTTTTTAATTTTTGTTTTTATGCATATTTAATTTTTTAATTTTTTAATATGTTAGGTATTTGATATAAAATATATTTAATTTTATATAGTAACAAACATTAGTGACGAGCTGTGTTAGTAATTTTTAAAAATAAATGATAGAAACAAATAATAGTGAGTTTAGCAACACCTTTATTTATTTATTTAAGCATTCAAACTTTCGAAAATTTATTCATTGAATTGAATGCTTCATTAAGAGCATTAGTTAACTGGTTTGGCAATATCACATTCAATATATATAGAGTTTGCATCCTTATATATGCCATATTTAATAGAGAGAACAACAATAAAATTTAAAATCCAATGTAGAGAACAGATTTATTCAAATTAAAAAATGGAATAAAAGGCAACTACTTCAACAAAAGAAAAAAAAATCCAAATGCACTCAATTTCCTTCAATTTTCACAAACCAAACGAATCCCAACATCTACTTTAAAATTAATACTAACAAATCTAATATTTTTTGTGATAAAATTAACAATTTTAAATACAAATTCATAATACAACAAAGATAGCTTTTTTGTAAGTCTTTTATTAATTTTCAATAAAATATTTGATTTCATTCAATAAATAAATAGTTATACTAAGTTTGATCAAAGGAAAACTCATTACTGTAACAACAAAACCAACTCCTTATACAACAAAACAAAATCATAAAAATTAATCCAACAAGCCTTCATTCTAATCAAACCCAAACAATTATTCAAAATGGATTAGTTAATTTTTTTATGAATAAAATCCATGCAACTTTTCTTTTCTTTTTCTTCTTTTTCTATTTTTAATTTATTTTAACCTATACGACCACTCAAGGGGAGCCAACTGAAAAATTAACCCAACCCAAATATCAATAATTAACTAATGGTTAATATATATATATAGGAAATTTCATTTCATTTATGGCGAAACTGAATCCATTGAAATACAAAATCAAAATCACAATAAAGGCAAAGCCATGTATATTAATTTGCTAAGTATTTCTCTGAATTAAAAAATAAAAAAAAATCAAGAAAAAACGTACTAGCATGCATATATGGTTCTTATAAAAAAGAATTCAAGTGCAAGAGAATTAATTCATAGTTCTGTTGTAACTTGTGTATCTAGGTAGCACCTTAATTATAAATTATAAAACAAGAAACAACATCATTAGCTGACTGAAAAGGATGCCTGAGGATTTCCTTAATTTGTGTCTTAAGAAACCCCACAACATGCCTTAACAAGTACAGTAGCCCGGGGGATGTGCCTCCATAATCCTTATCAAGATCACATGATTTCCATTTCTGGTTTGCTCCATGTTCATCTCTCTCAAGACATCGCTATGATGCATACCGTATTTATCCCCCCTTATGGCGCCCTAGCTTTGAAGATAAAAGAACGGTGATGCAGAAAGGTCTGTGCTTTGGTCTCTTGAATTGGTTTCAACAGTGCTTTACAATTGTGGTTCGAAGTTAAAATAAGGTACTTGCAAGGGTGGCTTCCACCAACATCTAGACAATGCCCTTATGTACTTTCAGCATCAGATATTAACAGATCTTAGGCAAAGATTAAGTATTTTGGTAGGCCAATGGCATATATATGTTTAGCAGTAGAGGATGGTGGTCATGGATGGAGCCCATCTGCCGTTGAACCAACGTGAGAAAATGCCATCAAATCCAGGCCACTATGGAGAACCTCATTTTGTCTTTCAAGAGTGACCCACGGATTCAAGTCTTGGTCTTTCCAACTTCTTTTCAAGTAACCATCTTGATACTGTCATCGTTTCAACCAAATCTGTACATCTTTTTTTTTTTTTAATCGAAATCAGACCCAAAGTCCAGTAAATTAAGCCACATATATATTTAAATTAAATACATCAATTTACGTTTTTAATTGCCTATTATTTAAAGTAAATTAACATGTTCAATCTATTTTTTTTATTAAATTTTTTGACCATAAAGAATTTCTTTCACTAAAATGTCCTTCGATGAAATGTAAAAGAAAAAATATTTACAATCGCTCGACGTGCGTACTTTATTTTTAAAATCATTAATTAATTAATTAATTTTGTTTCATTTCAGTGAAAAATATTTTGGTAAAAAAAATTGATTTAAAAAACAGATTAGATATTTCAAAAACACATTAGATTCAATTAGAAACTTAAAAACAAATGAAAAACTGAATATTATATGAGGACAAACTGATTATATATTTACCCTATATTTAAATTTGCTACTCCAACTCAATATCATTCTTTTTTCAATTTTCAAATTTGGATACATATTTTTAGTTTTCCCAAACTCTTCCATATGTATCTCCATTTCCCAGAAGCGGATTGCTGGTCTAAACAGCTAGATCTTAGATAATATTTGGTTGAACGCATTTTGATCAGCAAATTAAATGGCCAAATCAAACCGTTTATTTCGAAAAGTTCCTCCATGAAGCAGTGCCATTCATTTGTTAATTAAGAGATTTGAGAATTTTTTTGGAGAAACAAAGAACATTTTTCATAGATCAATTTTTTTTCCTTCATCTGTGGCCAGACCTAGGTGGTATCCTCGTCATACACTAATACTCAAATTTTAGTTCTAAGAAATAGGGTCTCCACGAGGTTATGAATTTTGGCAATTTTTTTTCCCTAAACTACAATCTTTCTTGATATCCAACTGAAATAATAATAATAATCACAAACCTCAAGAGAATATTGCAAGAGTTAAGCGACCAATCTAGAAACCCTTAGCAAAATTACATCATACCACGTAGCCATGACAAAAAATATGAATCTTTGAAGAAAAAAAACTTATAGAAGAAAATGAAAACAAAACCAAAATAGGAAAATGATATTAAAAAAACTTATAGTTTAGGGAGGAAATTGATATCACCTCCGAACCTCAGGGGGTGTTTTTGCAAAATACTAAAAATCGCATAGATAACTTGTTTTCTTATAACTAAATATCACAAGGATAATTGATGTCAATCAAACTATTTTACATCTAAATGATTTTAAGAGTGTATCCTTTATAATTTAGTAAATAACTTTAGATATTGTCCTAAACTTGGAAGCCAAAAAGAAAATGAAGAGAAAGAACAAATTTGCCAAACCTTGCTTTACTATTACTCTTGTTACTAGGAGTGGGAGTTCTTTTTCTAGTTTAAATGGTCTAAATTAACATATATAATATAATAAATAATTGTTTAAATAAACCATTAACTTCATGATCCATGCATAATAGAAATACTCCATTTAGCAAATAAAAATAATACAGTTGGCAATACTAAATAAAAAATATGTGATATTAATTATTAAGGTGTTCCAACCATAATAGACATACGAGTCAATGATACATTAATTTCTAAGTTTTGACATTTCCTTATTAAAAAAAGTATCGGTTAAACCAAATAAATTATCAAAATATTAAAGTTTGAAAGATTCATATATTAAGCAAATAAAAATTAAAAATTATTCATGCCGTGTGAAATATTATCAATCCATCGTATATTTATAATTCTGTTAAACTATTTATTTATATTATTTTATTAAAAATAATTTTGATTTTCGGTTTAAATGAACAAAAATTTGAAAAAAATGAAACTAAAATTGAAAAAAAAAATTGGTTTGTTTGTTTTTTTTTAATTAAAAATCAAATCAAAATTAATATTTTGATTAGGTTGGATTTAATTTGTTTTTTCCATTTAAACAGAATATAACTCACCCTGTTCTGCTGCCTTTAGATTTTAATTTTTTTTTAAGCTTACTTTAAATGGGTTAGCCGCCGTTAATGCATGAGAGTCACCAAACACGGAGGCCAGTAGATGCTAGAAGGGAGCAAAAGTACGGAACTCTTTGCAAAGGGTCCCGAAACTGAGTAGAAACAGCTAACACCAATTATCCTGCACGGGCTCACAATAATTAACGGCTGATCTCTCACGCATCACGCCGACGCTAATTGTTGTGGGGACCACGATGCGGCACGTGATCCATTCACTGAGGTGGACATTGATATCCCATCTGACACGTGTGGTTTTGGGGCCCTCTGCTCTGTGTTGGTCTGTCTTTATCTTCGATCACAAGCATGTATACGTCATGCTCACGTTGTTGGTTTTCCCACTCCCAGGAGCATCTTTGCCAATCGCCTCTTGCCATGTGGAAGCCAGTCTTTGTCAGTGTTGGCAGCTGGATTCATGGAGTTTTGGGCTTACGGACAGGCCAATTTTGGGCTCTTGGTCAAACCAATTTTTAAAAATTATAGGACGATTAAACCCTGATTAGAGATGAGATAATAAGGAATAAACTCGACCTGATGATGTGAAAAAATGAATTATTACATGTTGTGCATGGTTTCTAGTAATCTAAGTTCAACGTACATAATGAAGGGAAAAAAGAAGAAGTTCAATTCACTTGTTGCATTAAATTAAAAAGAAATTAATTGCCAAGAACAACACCATCGATCCTTTTCATCGTCTATCTCAATATACCCTCAAACAAGAACAACATGTTTTCAGTTACTCCCTCGATGCTTGACATTCTTAATCCAATTGCTTCTTTTAAGATTGAGATTGAGATTGAGACGATCAGTCCATTCAGTGGGTTCCCTCTATCAAAGGTTCAACCACTTAAGGGATGTCCCTCCTTTCTCGTTCTTTCTCATCAACCAACCATTGATTGATTTATTTATTTTGTTTATATATATGTGTGTTTTCAATATAATTTTTTATTAAAATTTGAAATTAGTATATTTCGAAGAAATTTGTTTCTTTTTTTTTCTAGATATTTCATCATATACTAAAAATATAATTAATTATGTTTGAAGCGGAAGAAATAAAGTTTAATCCTTTTCAATAAATATAATTTCAAAATTCAAACTTTACATATTGATAAAAAAAATTACTTAAAGACTATTTCGTTTGTTGCTCGAGCTAACAAATTGTTGGTATTACTAAGAAATCTGTGAGAAAGTTTATAATACTGAAAGAGTAACTCAGTAGCATGTAGAACGATTACTTTATGGATCTACTTTAAGAAAAGCGATAGACACATAAAAAAGAGAGAGTTACATCCAAACTCACCAAAAGTGATAAAAATATTTTCACGTTCGTTAAACGTTTTAAAAATTTTCTTTTTTGTCTCTCTCTTTTTTGTATTTATCTCTACCTATGGAGTGTATTTATAAAATAACTACTATACATGTCATTAATTACTCATTGAGTATTAACAAATTTATCGAAATTTGTTAGTTGCTTATAACCACATTCTAATATTCAACATGTATTAATAACCAAAGCAATTATTGTGTTAATGACAAGAATGAGGGTATCAAAAGTGACAGTTATCATCATGATCACACCCAAATTTCTTCAAACTAGATCCAAAATAGACTAAGCATATGATAGATTTCCATCTAAAATGAGAAAGAATTGACAAAACATAAGCACGTGGATACTGATTACTACTAACCGTTCTTGAATTGTCCCCTTTGCATGGACAAATTAATTTAACTTCAAAACTTCACGAATGGTTTTTGTTGTCTTGAGAAAATTATTGTCCCCAACCCCCTCCTCACCATCTAATCACAAGGGAACAAAAACTGGAATTGGGACCTACATCATGCCTCCTCAGCAATGTTAGCACGTGACATGGCATGGACTCACGCCTGATCATAACCCTAGTCAGCTTTGCCCTTTGAGAGAGAGAGAAACATTGCGATTACTACTTAGTATATGCCGCTGTGGCCCTCTCCTTAATTACCAACCCATTTCAGGTGCAAAAGATCACATTTTCTCGCATGGTGGTCCTGCAATATTCGCCGTAGGATGATTCTAGGATATACCAGTGGAAAGGCGATCCAAGGGTGAGAATTTGAAGGGTATAACTAGGCAAGGTGTGAGTGAAATAAAGTTTCTGAAAGAGATTGTTTGAGAGTGGTGTGGTTGGGGATCCCAAGACAAGGGTTTTGGGGTTAGTGATCATTGATCAAGACAGGAACAGTGCTCTTTTCCCAACAAAGCAAAAGCAAAGCTATAGGCAAGGCATCTTCTCTTTCCTTGTTATTTAGGGCTCTGCCTGTCAAACATGAAAGGAAGAAGGCCACTTTCTCTCTGTCTTAATGTTTGTGTCTCTGCGACTGACTGACTTTGTGCATGGTGCACCCACGTGCACTGTATGACTACTGGGTTGCTTTCTTCAGGGTCTCTCTCATTCTATCGTCATCGTCATGTGCATTGTGCATTGCATGCCTCATCCCCTCTCTCATTCCTTAATCCTTTGCCTGCAGGATATTGTGTTGATAATGATTCTAAATTGAATGAATCTAACTACTGATGAATTAGCATTAACTTAGGATTCTCGTAAAACTGAAAGGAACAATAAAGAAAACACACACACATATACATATTTTTTTTCTGAATAATAAAAAGAACATTTGTGTTGAAAGAAAAAAATTATTTTGCGAATTTGTGTTACACTAAATATAATAAATTTAGTGTTAATTAAATTTATTTTTCAACTACTAAACCAACCTTTAAAAGTTTTGAAATTTTTTCAACAGCTATTAATGTCTTTTCTTCTTCAAAAAGCTGGAAATTCAAACCTCACTTCTTTGTATTGGAAAAAAAAAAAAAAAAAGACAAATTTATTTGCATGTAATTAATCTACAGTGTTATTGTTGTTTCTATTTGTACGGTCGTTTACTTTTTAAAAAAAGTTTTTTAACTCGTTTGGAGGCCCATTAGGCCATGGCCTACAGAAAGGGCGGCTCTCTCCACCCTCATAATCCGAATCATTTGCAAGCAAATGCAAAGTTTAATTCCTAAGGATCAATTGAGCCCAACATGGAAAAGTGGAAAAAGCATAAAACTTTAATATGGAAATGTGAATTTGGGGAATTTTACAATGACGTTACATAATTTTACTTCAGACTATGAGTAAAGATTAAAAGTTCATCGTAATTGAATTCTCAATAAATTACTAACTAAAAATTCTGCTAACAACTATTTTCTTTTGGTAAATAAGTATTTACATTTCGTAATTGAAAGCAAGGTGATGCTTCTTAACAGTGCACCTGGGAATTGAATAAGGATTGATGCAATGCCCCAGATGAAAACAGTGCCTTGACGACTGTGCTTTTGGGATACCAATCTTACCCTTAATTTTGTTTTGGTATAAGGTCAAAGTTGAGTTAGTTACAATGCACTATCACTAGCTAATACGTCTTACAATTAGGATACAAACCCACCTTCTTGTCTGTGGGGAATAAGCCATGTGAATAAACGATATCTAGGAGGGATGTGATACATATACCCAACCAAGGTCGTCTTCTTCAATAATAATCCTGTCCCATGCAGAGTAGATAGTTGTGAATGTATGGCTGTTCATTTATGCACGTCACAACGGGAAGAGACCCACTGTTTTGCATTATTGACATGCTCATGTTAGAGTAGAGACAAGTTGATAAGGAACTTAATACGAGGAGCTTGAAACTTTCTTCTCTAAGGAATCGGCCATATAGGATGAACTCGCAGGTCCATCTAGGCCGAACTCTAATCTGGAACTTCCAACCAAATTTATGCCTAGGCTCTAACCCTGCACACTTTGGTCACATTGCTACGTAGAAACTAGAAACCTCGAAACATCTACTCCGGATCTAAATTTGGTACTACATTAATGAGGCCTTCAGCCACCAGACAATGTTCAAGTCCAACCTTTGCATGTTCTTCCTAGTTGAGAACTAAAAGGATGCAGAATGTCAAAAATGTGGGCTGAAGTATCTATCATTACTGTATGTTGTTTCCGTTCAAATTGCCGACAAAATTTGTGCATAACTAAACTCATTTCCTAGAAGCAACTTATCTGAGAAAATTAGGGAAGTCATCCACCTTCACTAATTTATTAACAGTGATACAAACAGGATTACCATTCCTGCAATTGGCAAATACATGTTCTTTTGGAATTATTTCGAACTTCTGGTCATAACCTTTCTCCAGTACAATTTTCCATGACGACTGACAAAGTGAGGCCTACAATCGTTTCCAATAAACAATTGCTGTGTAAGAGAACTTTCAACTGTTTTAGCAGTCTTTCGGCAATCGTCAAGACTCACTTTTCAGTCTCTGAGTATCCACCAACTTGTAAAGATCACCTCGTTGTTGCTTCATTAAGGGGAGGTTTGTCCTGAATTTTTTGTTGGCACAAAACAAGAATATAAATAGGAAATTAGTGAACGAATATTAATCAGTAACATCTGGAAACAATGAGAATCTGCAATATTGGAAGGCACATCACCTTCTCACTTCAATTAGTGAATAATCAATCTCTGCTATGATTATATCCTGCTCATGCTCAGTGGTAGCCAGAACTTCTCCGAACTGCAACTCATGCAGTATTTTAGTGAATAGCTTGCCTCCACATATAGCTTATAACCAGAATAAAAGCTGAAAGTCACTCACTGGTCCTACAAGAGTGGAGTGACCCCAGGCCACATAAACAGCTCCAGTATCTCGAGCAGGTGAACAAGTTGCCACATATAGCTGCCATTTAGAAGTTATCACAAAAGAAGGACCAGTGAGGAACTCCCTACAGGTTTCTACTGAAAAACCAAACTCATGAAAACACGTGGTCACTTGTGAATTCTTTCAGCAGGTTGCTGGCTTCTGGCTATGAGGGAAGTGGGTTGCAAAATAATTCACACACTTCAGGTTATGCTGGAGCAGAAAGAATAGTCCCTAGGAACATTTTCATCGTGTGCATGTTTAAAGTTTAAATGCAGACCAAAAAAGAAGCCAAAAGTCAATTGGACCATCATTTTTCTACTTACACCCCTGAATCCAACTTTTCTTTCATTTTCAATCTTTTCAAAGAAATCTAGTACTGAGGGAAAAGAACTGTTCAAAGCAGATGAAAATATATCATCTGGCAATCAAGTAAACCCCCAGAATGGAAATTATGGCAAAATTCACAGCATAATACAGGTACTTGATAGTTAATTATGAGTTATGACCAAGGATCCAATTAATCTGTTTAATCATTCCATCGCTGCAACCCCCGCAAGGCAAAAGTTCAGCATATTTAAAGAGTACTATAACAAGCAAAACACAAACACTGGGTCTGAATTTTACCATTAAAGTTAACGAACTGCAACAACAGAGGAGATTGAGGCGTTGTCCAAATTAATCACTAGAACTTTTCAAGGAACCCTTGGGATGATATTGTAGTTCCTATTAAGTGAAGGTGTTGGCAAGTGAATTGTAATTATATTCTGGTTCTAAGCATGCAAATCCTTTATGAATATTATTCTGCCATGGTGTTAAACTTCAAGCTTTACCAGACATGAAAAAATTTCAAAACATTTATAGTGGAAATGTAAAGCTCTATACATTCCACATTAATAAAGAGAAAGTGAGTTTTGCTGCATTACCTGATTATCAATGGCCCTGTACATGAAATGCGAAGGTTAAGTCAACAACATGCTATTACCAACTAGAGCTACAAATACCAAACATCATTCTCCTGAACTTTTATCATAAGATCACTGAGCTATCAGAGAAGAGAGTTAACTCAGAGGAAAATTCAAAACTTCATGTTGGAAAAGAAAATCTAGAAATAGAATATAAGATGCATCTGTTTGTAGTAAATAAGAAGAATCCCAGATAACAATACTCAATGGTCCTCTCTGAAATGAAAAGGTACCTTGCCCTCTGCAATAACTCCCAATGTAATGGACCAGTGGTCATGTTAAATGCCCCAGGGTAGCATAACAAATGAGCACCTGGTGCCAACAACCAGCTACTGTCAATATTCAGTTTATTGATAAACACAATAGTTAGAATGATCTGCAGCACAACAATCTGACAAATAAGTCTGTAGAAAAAGGGAAAGAATTTTCAATTTTCGAAATGCCAGAAGCCTACACCGCAACTGAAAAACAGTGGTACAATATTAAAGATAAATTTATAGAAAGCATCACATAAACAGTACCTATCATAAAACATATATCTTTAATTCATCAATGGAAGAACTGGAAAAAGAGAGAAATGTATTGTGAATGAACATGACAACAGTTGCATTCAGGATAAGCAAAATTTATGCACGAACATTTTGGTGTATTTACTCAAAATACCATGTTTATATTTGCAGGCGTGACAAGCAATATTCTTTGGGAAACCATTACATACTTGATTGGCTATCTGACCAGCAACCAATTGTGGTGTGTGGTGGGGGGCGGGTTGGGGTTGTGTGTGGTGTGGGGATGTTCCTTCTCCAGGTTCAAACTCACTAACTAACACAAAGTACTAGAGGAATGGCTAAGTTACAAACTACAAACTACAAACTAATGTCTAAGTAAATATTCCTACTCCTATGTAGAGAAACAAAGTCAAAATAAAGATATAGAGAAAAACTAGATACCCATTGTGATTGTTGATGAATGATGGACATATGATACATCATCATTTTTATATATTTATACCACAATACAAATAACTACCATACAAGTAACAAGAAGTTTCAAATGGGACTTGCTCTATTTGCACATTTCCTTGATAAAATGTTACTTGGCAAATATAGGACAGAAACAATGCCCACTACTATCCTTTTGAATGTTGGTAAGGAATTCAATAGGATAGCATACTTTCTCAACTATATTTTTCAAAGTTTCTTCTTACACAGTAATGAGGAAAAGGTTTCAATTGTGAAAAGTAGGTACTAGGTGGAAAATGCATGACTTGTTGCACAGCAAGCAGTATTTGGCAAAGTGGCACCATTTATTTTTGCTTAAGTACACCTCAAGAAAGATTATTTTCCTAACAAGGTATACCTCCAAGAAAGATTATATATTTTCCAAGTCACATTTATCAAGAAAATTCTAGAAGCCAAGGAGTTTTATGGCAAGGAAGTTACTAAAGAAATTACAAATATGATAAGAACAAGTTGGCTACAATAGAGAAGCTGCAATATGTCATGGAGGTCATGTGGCAAGAGAACTAGTTACCAGAGACATTTGAATAACTACAAGTAGTTATTGATCTTAGGAAGTTATTTATTCTACCTATATAGAAGATTAAAGTATCATAATATAATTATGTAACAGGGACCTGGTATCTACATTTATACCAATCATCAACGATCAAAATGGAATGACAATTTATTCCTTTATCTTACCTTTTCTCTCTTCTGTTGGAGTAGGGTAGGATGGATTGTAGTTATAGATTATAGTCTGTATCTTAGTTATTAGATTTACAACCTCTGCTAGTACTTTGTAAAAACGAATTTAACCTGAAGAAGGAACATTTCCTCCATCACCATCATTTGTAAATCAAACAAAATGTACCAGACCTCTTTCTCCCTTTTTCTTAAATTCACTAATTATACAAGACTGTGAGGTATATAGATGCAAATTGGTTGGTTAAGTGAAATGCACAAGGACAAAAATATATAACCCTAGAACGTCTAGGTTAAGCACGCTCTAACCTACTTATAAACGATGGCATGCTAGTATGATCCTTGATATGGATCCAATCCCCGAGCACTTCTAGATAGGATCTCAATTTTAACAACATAGTTGCTAACAACTAGTGGAGTGAAGAAGGATCTTGCAGCTGATTCAGTGTTACATGAATTGAGGCATTGTATTATTAAATAGAAATTTTTTTTTTTTTTTTTTACAACAGTTTGGAAATAGTTTTTATGCTGACATAGTTACCGAATATATGTTAGTCAGTCGCATACAATTAAAATCAGCAGTAAAATCCACAACTAGAAAAAAATGTTAAAAGTCAATTGAAGAAAGAAACAAACCTCTTGCTGCATATATCATTGCCAATTCCTGGAATCGAATGTCATAGCAGATGCCTATACCAATACGACCAATTTCTGCATGGACCAATCAATGGTTATTTTCCCAAAGCCCCAAAAAAAATAGAAAAATATGTTTCCATTAATAGAGGACGGAGGTTGTGTGACAGAATTAACTATTAAGATACTAATGTAACAGGATGAACAAAACACTTAAATACAATGCACACTAACCATAACAGAATTCAATGACTGCTCCCATCAATTCATTTTTTCAGTGTTCTCTTCTACAAATGAAAAGATTTATGTTGGAGGTGTGCATTCCCAATTGGTCCTGAGAGCAGGACTTATGTTGTTTGAAAAGCAACCACAAACCAGATGATGTTATCTGAATGGTACCATCTGTTTTTATGTGACCTAACTGGATTCAAGTAGAATTTTTTTTTTTTTTTTTATTATTTTTTATTATTTTTATTTTTTTGTGATAGGAATTTCACTTGGCTGATCCAAAAACAATACACTTGTAAGGTATTTCCTTCAATAGTACTCATTTACAAGCACATTTGATATGCTGCATCAGAGGCATGTAGAACAGCCTTTTTAGCCATCATAATGACAACAACTAAAAGCTAAAGCAGTTCTACAGATGCTTGAGATGGATATAGTGGTGGATCATGGGAAACATGTAGGAAACTAGGGTAGAAAACTTTGCTGCTGAACCTTCACATTCATCATTGTTAGAAGATATACGTTATCTCAACAGGCCCACAAAGGTGTAATAAGTTCTCAGGCTTGAAGTCTAAAGGTAAAGGAACGACAAACCTGTGTCAACAATGGTCGGAGTCTCCCCTGCTGTGACAGTCTTTGATTCCATAACAGTAATCTTCCCAGGAATGTCAACATCAAAAAGGTGTATCTGTAGTTACACACAAATAACAAAGAGATAAATTTGATTCAGGAAATTGTCAACATGATTGCATAGCATCATACAACTAACGTGTATACTCCAAGCCACTAATTTCTGTGTACATAACAAAGGGAACTAGTTAAATTAAATGCCTCAGTATGTTCCTTCATAGACATGTGCACAAGTGTACCTTCCGGTGTTTGGCTTTCAACTCTCCATGGCTATCAAAGACACAACATGTATTATACAGCCGATCCCCAGAACGTTCAGGTATAGAGCCACCAATTATTGTGATCTTCAAAAGACGAGCAACTTCAGAGAGCATGGCTGTCGAAGGTGATGCACCACCACCCGCATCTATGTCCTCAGCATAAACTGGGAAATTTTCATTTGAAAATGGGATGTTCCATATTTCCTGAAAATCAACATGGAGAATGTAGGCAATAATGCTCCATTTTGATTTTAGTACACACATACAACCTAACCACATTTATACAAAAACAATATTTTCATGTATGGTACGCAATATAATCAGTGATTATAGTTAAATATTTTAATACAGTGATAAAAAGACAATGACAAATACATTTGAAACAAACAAAAACAATATTTTCGTGTATGGTACGCAATATAATCAGTGATTATAGTTAAATATTTTAATAAAGTGATAAAAAGACAATGACAAATACATTTGAAACAAAATAGTTGATTACAAATTAAGCGTTGATAAAGGGAATTAAAAGGGGCTCTAAATCTAAGATTTAATGGCATAAAAATCAAATGTCAACTGCATCAGCCACGAGCAATTAAAAAAAAGAAAAAAGAAAAACAAGCATTTAAAACTTAAAAGAGAAACTAACAGGCAACACAACAAGCTTGGCCCCCTTAGCTGCAGCCTCTTCAATTGCTCTGCGAGCGTTCGCAATATTCCTCTCTTTATCCGCCGTCACCAATAACTGGCACAGCCCTATCTTAAACTACGCCACACACAGAATTGAAAAAAAAAAATCAGAAAAAAAATGAATTGCTTTCTTTCAATAATTATACGCGTGTGTGTGTGTGTGTGTCTAGAGAGAGAGAGAGAGATGGTGCCTTGGTGACAGGGGGAGTAGGCAAGGGGAGGGTGGGAGGGGACCTGGCTTGCTCTGGTTCGAATGAAGAAACCATTGATTACTTCGGTGTTGTTTTGTGTGCAAAATGGAGGAGTGGGAGCCTGAGAGAGGGGAAGGATTGAGAATTTTGGACCTAAAAAAGCGTTGATATTGCTCACTGCACTTCCCTCTCTGTTCCAGTAGTAGTAGTAGTAATTTTTTTTTTTTTTTTTTTCCTTTTGAATAGGTTTTTTCATTTATGAGAAAAGAGGGAAATGTTATTACATTTCAATAACAAGCAAACCCAAATTACATTGAGCTTGTTTGCCTCTTTCTTTCCCTTTTTTTTCTTTTTTTAAAGCTTTTACTATTTTTAAATTAAGTGTTTGACAAACAACTTTAAGTGATTCTAGGATGGCAATGGGATGAGGCAAAGATGGTTATTTTCGTTATTTCCGTTCTCATCAAAAAAAAAAATGGCCTTATTTTCTTTTTAAGTTACAAATTAAAAATTATCAATACGTATTTATAATTATTTCTTATTTTCAACCTTATATCTACAAATATGAATCCTATAATTTTTATTAATAGCAAACTTGCTTTTATTTATTTATTTATTTTTATCTACAAATATGAATACTATAATTTTTATCAATACATCTTTTCCACCTCCATGACATACACTGTTGTCCGTTCTTTCTTTATCCAAAGAACATTCACAAACCCTCATTGTCAACAAAGGTTTTGCTTCCTTTGTTAACGATAGTGTTAAGATTGTAATCTTTTGCTCCACAAATCAACACCAATCTAAAATCAGAAGAAGAGATAAGATTCTTGGAGAAGATATATATGATAGTGTAGTTTTTTATGGCTACCTTCAGATTTAGTACAGCAAACAGAACAATAACATTAAAACTAATTCGACCTTTATTGCAATACTTTTTAAAAGAAAATGTAAGGGCACACTCGCGATTTTACAAGTTGCAGACGAGGCAACATAAAAAGGCACATTGAAATTCACATGACAGCTTTATAAAACTTGATCATACTGTATCTATCAGGCAAGATCAAGATGCATATAAAGGCTCTGGCTCCACTTTTCTTCTAATCCTGAGAAAATGTCAAAGCAAAAAATCATTAGACCACATACAAAACCAGGTGGCAGGTTGGGAATGCTAAAGCACTCTACTCTGAATCATTCAAAAGCGATGTGCCACTGCTGATGAAAAGGTTTAAACTCGAATTCTTTGAGCCCTGGAGATCAAGTATAACACTACCGGTTTTAACATAGTTGACTCATAACCTGTTTCTAGAGAAGGTGAACGGCACAAAGGTTTAGAATCAGAAGGAATAGTTGGTTATACCAACACAAAAGACCTCTTCACAGACACCAAAAAATTGAAAGAATAGTTCATTTCCTATTTTGAGCAAAAAAAGGAGAACAATCACTTCATTACTGAATCATCTCCTTCCAATTTGCTCCTACTGGAAAACAACCATTAATCTTTCCAACAGCTGATACATACAGCCAAGAAATGGATGTTATCAACAAAGCCATCTCCTTCAGCTTTGCTCCTTCAGAAATCCAACTGCTCATACCTCAAGAACAAAATTTTAACCATGCACCGACTGACTATTAATTCTACAACCTAGCTCCAGAGTAAGAAAGTGAACGGAATTCCACAGGAAGGACAAAAAAAGGGCGTGTATGGATACCAATGTACCATTGACAGCACAAAGTTTTTCTTTGTAAAAATAAATCAATCCGTCCTCATATTTCTAAGAGCTGTTTCCAATATCTGTATTTATTATGTCGTTAATTTAAGGACAAATCTCCAATACTACAATATGTGGTCCAAATTAACTAAAATTAAAGTGAATTGTACTCAATCATAATGTATTTTTTCAGACTAAACTATTGAAGGATAGTTAGGTTAAACAGACGTCTTTGTCATGTGTTGCAAAACACAAAAAAGGAAAAGTCATGTGCATGTTTCCGTTTTAAGGTACTAAGAGGAGGTATTCTAGCTTTAAAGAAGAAATTCACAAGTATACTTTTTGATAGTTTGGATGGCACATAGTAACAGAAAGACCTATTTGATATTTAACCGCAAAATAAGGATATGATAGATGTAACTAAACATGTTGGGACATATTGAAGACAACTCCTAAAATATAACAATAGATCAACCTTTTGCTTGGGTACCAACAACACAAAGTATAATTTTTGATAGTTTGGATGGCACATCGTAACAGAAAGACCTATTTGATATTTAACTGCAAAATAAGGATATGATAGATGTAACTAAACATGTTGGGACATATTGAAGACAACTCCTAAAATATAACAATAGATTAACCTTTTGCTTGGGTACCAACAACACAAAGTATAATTTTTGATAGTTTGGATGGCACATCGTAACAGAAAGACCTATTTGATATTTAACTGCAAAATAAGGATATGATAGATGTAACTAAACATGTTGGGACATATTGAAGACAACTCCTAAAATATAACAATAGATTAACCTTTTGCTTGGGTACCAAAAACACAAAGTTCAAAATAAAGACAACAGGAAAAATGGTTACTGGCCTTCCAAGCACTTCCATGTGAAAATTACATGCAGGCAAACATTCCGATGAGGGTCAAAATCCATCAAGAATTATATGTTCTTGTTCTTATACGTAGAGGACATGATGATGGCATTTTCAACAAAGAAAAGCAGAGTTAAATTTTAGAAATCTTTTACATATTATTAGGATAAAAGTACAAAGAACACAGACAGTGAAATTTAGGGTGCTCAAATTAGAATATGTAGCTGCTAATATGAAAAGAGAAGCATAAACCATAATCCTTCACTCACCAATTCTCTGGAGCCCATTTGCAGCCGTCAGTATCTACCACATGCAAGCTGTAGGCATGCCTTGACTTTGAGGACTGATTCTCAAAACTGTACCCCACATATACAGAGAAAAGGAAAACAGAGAGCTTTGAGCTCATCAGCTTTGGAGAAAAATAAGGTTTTTTAATCCATCGACTGGTAAATGAATCATGCAATATTTCCTTTAACTTACCTTTGATGGATAAGATCGCCATGAATTAGAACCAAAGAACCAGCTTTCACTTCTATTGGCACAAAATCTTTTTGGTCATAAGAAGGGGAAGGCTGATCAAAGTACACCCCGTTTTCACCTCTAAGAAACCTTCTGACCAGGCCATCTTAAAACAGCACAGAACAGAAAAAAAATATTAAATATGAAAATTCTAGCAGCTTGTTCTTCTTGCAAGACAGAAGCAAAATGGAAGAAAGGGAGTTACTTTTGTGGGATCCAGGCATGGCCCAAAGGCAACCATTTATTATAGTTGCATCTTCTAGAGCCAGCCACAGCCCCGTGCAAGTTGTTGGTTCAGTATACAAAAATGAATTATCCTGGTGTGGCACCACTTCACCTCCAATACCTGGTTGCTGTGAATAAATACCTCATAACTTCTTGCACTTAAAATCAGGAAATGGCAAGAGCATGCATACTTGAAGAGATACTGCTATGATGGTCATTTTCAAATAGCAATTTTTTTTTTCAACAAAAAAAAAAGAGGATAGTGTTACCTTTCATACAACAAGAACTTTCACATGCTGTAGTTTAAAACAGACTTGTGTATTAGATGTGAACGATAGAAATAAAAAAGTTTAAACTTTAAATCAGTTGCCATTTACAAATGTTTCCACTCTAAATATCACAAGTGAAAAATCCAGCTCCAATCACTAAAATACATCAGTTTCTCATCAAAAACATTGAAAAGAAAAGAATAGTTGCAACCAAAAAAATAGTAGAAATAACATTATTTACAGACAAAATCCAAGGTAAATGTAGCACACACTAGAGAATATGATAAACATGAAGTTAAAATGGTTTAGATCTCTCCTTTTACAAATGCATGGATATTGTTCAAGAATATAACAAATAATGTGAGTATATAATGCAAAGACAAGAAACAATTAGTGAATTTAAGAATACAGAAAAATCATAAATGCCAGTTTTTACTATGTATACCAAAGGATTTCAAGTCTGCTACATCTCGTAATATAAGAAGAACCTCACAAATTGAATGCAAGCCTTTTATTAAGTTTTCCAAACAAATGCACGTAAAAAGAAAAAGACAACAACAGTGTCTTTGATTCACCTAAGGGTAAAAAATATTCAAAATGCAACACAACATAGCCAAATATGGCAACACCATCAAACAATAGAACCCAAGTTTTGCAACAAACATAAGATTTCAATTTTATTTAGATTAAAAAAAAAAAAAAAAAAAAAAAAAAAAACCCAAGTTTTACAAGAAACATAAGATTTAAAAAAAAAATCTAAATCTCTGAGTTCATCATACCAATCTAACAATGGTTACTCAAATATCAGGGTTACCGATTAATAAATAAATAAAAATACATATTAGGGTCGCTGCAACAGTCTCTTGTGTCAGATCTGCCTTAAATCCAGAAAGAGGAGGCAACACAAAGCTATATTTCAAAGTATATCTCATACTCTGAAAGCCATAATGATTTAGCCATGCAACATTGAAGATCCAAGATGAACTCTTCAGTTGAAGGTCTGTGAATCTTTATCAGTTTGTGTTATCTTGGGTAAAATGATGGCAAAATGTATTCCTTCATTACTCTTAGAAGTAGGTTACTCTTCCAAATATCCCCTGCCACATACAATGGCTTATAGCATCCAGCACAGAACCCTAAAAATAGATTTGATATGAATATATGATAGATTCCTTAAATTTTGGAAGCAATAGGAATTCCATCAAGTAAAGAATGGCTAGTTGAGAGAGGAAAACATTTTCTAAAAAATCAAGTTCAGACCTAGTTAAAACATTGATGTGCTCGCATCACACAAAGCTACTATGTTACCTTGTAAAAGACCCTTGTCGTGTAAACCCTTGTCGTGTAAAGATATAAAACTCAATGGAAACCATAATGCCAACAAGCAGTAAGGCCATTTTCCATAATTAAGCCTTAGATAAACTAAATAAAAAGTCAAAATTTTCAAAAAGACAATGCAATTAATAGTCTACCTTAAAAATGTACATGGACTGAATGATCACTGGCTTCTTGTAACTTAACAATGATAACAAACCGGAAACTTTCTCAGAGCTAGAGAATCCTTTGAATACTGGGTCAAGCTCATGTAGGGCTGCACAAGTATATCCCACATATTACAACATCAGTACCAGTTTTTTTTTTAAAAAAAAAGAAAATGCAATATTACTATTATTACTATAACTACTGTAAGGTAACTCCACTTCCAGAAGCATTGTATAACATTAAAGAGTAACTGCAGCATACCGTGCCCCACTTTGTTAATGGACAATTGCTTTGGTTGCTTCAAGTTTCCATCATCCCCAAATGCTTTTTCTGCCAAATATCACAAATACCAATCGTCAACCCACAAAATCTAATCATAACCTAACCAAAAACGCTAAAAATGTGACGGTAGCTGCAAGATAGAAGGAATCAGAAAGGCAAGAAAAAGAGGGTAGGACCCATTAACTAAGCAATCAAAAACCCAAAAATTTAGTCTTCAAAGCTCCAGAATACTATTATTTAACCAAAAAGAAAAAAGCTGGATGACTTTCCATTCCAGAAAGTAGAAAGTACCTATTAATACCAGTAAATTGAATAGAATATAAAGTTATACCTTCAAAGAAAAAAGAAATTTTCTCAGCACTCTCGTAGAAGTAATCATCAGTAACCTTTCGCTAAAACAAAGACAGAAACAACAACAACATCATCAGGAATTGAACTTCGAGTTTATATATTTGTAAACTAATGGTAAAAAGAAAAAAAGAAAAAAAAACCTGATTCTTAGTAGAGAAAACAGAGACGGTAGTGTAATCAAAATCATCAAGTAATTTATCCATCCTCTTCCTCATGGAATCGATATCTTCAGGGCTAGCAAATGATTCGATGACAAGATATCCTTGAGAATTGAAGAATTCCAGTTGGTCTGAACTCAGAGTTCCGGCGATCCCCATGCCTTGTTTTTGTGTGAGTCAAAGATAGAGAATTATATGGATTGGGAGAAGACAGAGCGAGCACAAACGCACTTCTATATATATATATATATAGTAATTGAAAATATACTATCAATTAATTTGTTCACTAATTATTAGTCATTTGGATGATGATGATGAGAGAAGTCAGTGGAAATCAATTTTAAATCCAAGTAATGCGAAAGGGGGAAACGTACTTTGGATTTTTGTGCCAAATGTCAAATTCTGCTTCCTCTCTTCACTTTTGGGATTGAACTTAGTTCACACTGATTCAGAATTACCAAAAAAAAAAAAAAAAAAAAAGAGAGAGGAAATTAGTTACACTTTAGCTTTGGGTTTCTTATTACTGATTAGTGCTAATTTCGCTGAGTGCATTTTCTGAAACATTTCATGCATTAAATAGAAATCTCATACATTCAGTGTTTGCTACTATTTTTTTTTTTTTTTTGGGATTAAATTAGCATTATTTTTATTTATTTTATAACCATTGCACTAGGACTAAATATTTTCCTAAGAAATCAACTAGATAAGATTAGTTTGTTGGTGGCGGTATGTTGGAGGTCAGATTGAACATGTGAAATCATTTGAAAAAAAAAAATCTAATTTGAGTATCCATCAAAAAAATATCAAATTAAAGATAAAAAAAATTATCAAATTTTATATTTAACTATTTTTTCTTATGTTTTTGATAAATTTTCTACTGAAAAAAATGATTTGTTCTTCGTTATTCATGAATTCTTAGTTAAAAATTTACAATAATTTAAATAGAAAATTTAATTCAAGTATTAGAAAAGTATTCATGTTGTTTTTTTTTTATAAAATTGTATCAAAAAATAAAATAACAATTAATCTAAAAATTTGTATAAAAATAAACAAATGAAAAAATATATATATATATATATATATATATATATTAGAATAAAATTGTATTTGAATCATTGATGGTTCTTCTAAAACATAATTTTAATTATTTTACTTGAAATAAATTGATTACAAAATATCTATAAAATAAATAAATAAATAGTAAATGATTGCGTTATGTGTATAAATGCATAATTAATTTTCAATAAAACCAACTATTCAATATTTTTTATATAGATATAACATAATTATACTCGAATGAGTTCGAGTTTGTAACATGTAATAAAAAAAAATTAAAAGTAAAAAAACTTAACTTTTAAAAAATATATTGAATACATTTGAAGTTAATAGATTAAAATAAAAATTACTACAAAATTGATTATGATAGATTTTGATTGTATAAAGAAGAAGCAAATCAAACACATGTTTTTCTGAAGTTATACATGGCTAGTCTTTGTACATAGGTCATGCACGCAAAACAATCATTTTTTTTCCATATTTGACTTTTAATTATTTTTTCTAAAAATCAGAGACAAATTATTTGATATATATATACTTGCTCTCATTTAAAATTCATAAGAATCTATCATATAAAATATATTAATTTATTTTTATAAAAAAAATATTCATGTTTAAAAATTTTATTCCAAAATCCATATATTATGAAAAATAAATCATATTTGTTAATAAATAAAATTTTATAAAAAATAAAAATAAAAAAATTAATTGGATGAGAATTTTCATTAAAAAAAATTACAAATTGAATAAATAAATTTCAAGTGATAAGAGTAATATTATCCGAAATATATATTTATTCCGAAATATAAAAACATATCATTTTTTTTTCTTGCCAAATCGAGTGAAAAACTCAAAAAATAACGATTGATCTTCCATAAGTTTAGCACAAAATTCAATAATAAAAAATAAAATAAATTACAGTGAAAACAAGCCAATAATAATAATTATAAATAAATAAATAAAGAACCAAGCTAGGCATGTGTTCTTAGGCCTAGGGAACCAAGCATGTGTGGGTCGGTTTCTTTTTTTCAAAAAAATCAACCACGACTAGCTCGTGTTGTGTTTAACACACAACGTGTCGTCGACTTATAATTTTCAACAAATTTGAGTTCATAGAAAAATCAAAATTAGTAGTTTACGGCCTTCTAAATTTAAAAAACATGGAAATAAAATTAATAAACTTGTCTAGAACTTTAAAAATTATTTTAATGTACATAAAAGACATAACAATTCAAATCAAATTCGAAACCTCAAAATATTTTGGATTCTCCTTCAACCATTTGATAACTTGTAAACATCACAAACAAACTCTCTATAAACAAATTGAAGGGGAGATCAAGGATTATAGTGACCAAAATAAGCCTTGCTCGTGACTTTCTCTCTCTTTATTTCTCTAATCTCTTTACATCTAGAGACCAAACTGCAAAAATAAATAAAGTTGGTATTACGGAACTCTCCTAAAAACAAGCAGGAGTTGTAACAAACTACAATACACTAGTATAAATGAGTCTTAGTTAATTATTTTATCTTGTTTATTAAGAGTTATAGATAGTTTTTAATATTAGTTTTTAAGTAAACTTGTTGTAGTGTACTTTATCTAGAGAAACATAATATTACTAAACACAATTAAGACATTGGCAAAAAAAACGATAGAAATGTTTTTAGACGGAAAAGCTTTTCTCTCATTGTTTAATTTAGTATCGAGTCTTGATAGTTAAACAGTTATGAGTTTGAATCTCTCCACCTCTCACTTCTTTTTTTACAACACTATATCAATTGCCTTAAAAAATGCTACCTCTCTCGCAACTACCAAAAATCAAAATCCTCTTGATCCTACTTCTCCCAAGTCCCACCAAATTATATCACTTGGCTTACCAATTCTCGTCATTTTATTTTTCTCAAATTAACTTCAACCAATTATATTTCCTAGCGTACTCATATGATACTATTTTTAATGGGACATGGGTTTTTTAGGTTCATTGATAGCAGCGATCAATCTCCACCCTCTTATACTCTGTTAAATGAGACTGGCATGCTCCAACCAAACAATTCACACATTTTTTTTGGGTTCAACAAGGCTAATTACTAATCAGTACATTTATTATCTCTTTATCAACAGAGGTTTTGCTCATCGTAATTGACGGTCATACCACTCATGAAGTTTGGACTATGCTAGAGAGTGCTCTTGCCATCACCTCAAGTACTAAACCCTCCAACGAGCCAAACAATATGATTTTAAAAATGTCACTCAATATCTTCAATGTGCAAAGTCTTAAAGTAATTAACTCATTCAGGCTGGCTATTTCAATCTTTATGTTTTTTTTGTGGGTTATCAAGTGATTTTAAGGACTTGATAACCATCTTGAAGAGACAGTAGTGTAATCAAAATCATCAAGTAATTTATCCATCCTCTTCCTTATGGAATCGATATCTTCAGGGCTAGCAAATGATTCGATTACAAGATATCCTTGAGAATTGAAGAATTCCAGTTGGTCTGAACTCAGAGTTCCGGCGATCCCCATGCCTTGTTTTTGTGTGAGTCAATGATAGATAGTTATATGAATTTGGAGAAGACAGAGCGAGCACAAACGCACTTCTATATATATATATAGTAATTGAAAATATATTATCAATTAATTTGTTCACTAATTATTAGTCATTTGGATGATGATGATGATGATGAGAAAAGTTAGTGGAAATCAATATTAAATCCAAGTAATGTGAAAGGGGGAAACGTACTTTGGATTTTTGTGCCGAATGTCAAATCCTGCTTCCTCTCCTCACTTTTGGGATTGAACTTAGTTCACACTGATTCAGAACACTCAGTTCACACTGATTCAGAATTTAAAAAAAAAAAAAAAAGGCAAATTAGTTCACACTTTAGCTTTGGGTTTCTTATTACTGATTAGTGCTAATTTCGCTGAGTGTATTTTCTGAAACATCTCACGCATTAAATAGAAATCTCATACATTCAGTGGTTGCCACTATTTTTTTTATATAATTAAATTAGCATTATTTTTATTTATTTTATAACCATTGAACTAGGACTAAATATTTTCCTAAGAAAGCAACTAGATAAGATTAGTTTGTTGGTCACAGTATGTTGCAGGTCAGATTCAACATGTGAAATCATCTGAAAAAAATGTTCTAGTTTGAGGTTACATCAAAATATATCGAATTAAAGATAAAAAAATTATCAAATTTTATGATTTTTAATCAAATTTTATATTTAACTATTTTTTCTTATGTTTCTGATAAATTTTATGCTGAAAAAAATAATTTGTTCTTCTTTATCCATGAATTCTTAATTAAAAATTTATAATAATTTAAATAAAAAATTTAATTCAAATATTAAAAAAGTATTCATGTTATTTTTTATAAAATTGTATCAAAAAAATAAAATAATAATTCATCTAAAAATTTATATAAAAATAAAAAAATGAAAAAAATTATTTATTATTATTATTTAGAAGTGTGTGTGTATATATAATCAATAATATTAGAATAAAAGTTGTATTTGAATAATTGATGGTTCTTCTAAAGTATAATTTTAATTATTTTACTTGAAATAAATTGATTACAAAATATCTACAAAATAAATAAATAGTAAATGATTGCGTTATGTGTATAAATGCATAATTAATTTTCAATAAAACCAACTATTCAATATATATATATATATATATATATATATATATATATATATATAACATAACTATCTTGAATGAGTTCGGAGTTTACATGTAATAAAAAAAAAGATCAAAAGTGGAAACACTTAACTTTTAAAAAATATATTGAATACATTTGAAGTTAATAGATTAAAATAAAAATTACTACAAAATTGATTATAATAGATTTTGATTATATAAAGAAGAAGCAAATCAAACACATGTTTTTTTTTCCTTTCTACATTTTTTTTTTCTGAAGTTATACATGGCTAGTTTTTGTACATAGGCCATGCACACAAAACAATTATTATTTTTTTCCATATTGGACTTTTAATTATTTTGAAAAAAAATTTTCTAAAAATCCGAGACAAATTATTATTATTATTATTATTATTATTATATATAATCATGCGGCTCTCATTTAAAATTCATAAGAATCCATCATATAAAATATATTAATTTATTTTTATAAAAAAATATTTATATTTTAAAATTTTATTCCAAAATCTAAACATTATGAAAAATAAATCATATTTGTTAGTAAATAAAATATTATAATAAAGAAAAATAAAAAATTAATTGGATGAGAATTTTCATAAAAAATTACAAATTGAATGAATAAATTTTAAGTGGTAAGAGTAATATTATCCAAAATATATATTTATTCTAAAATATGAAAGCACATCATATATTCTAAAACATGAAAACATATCATATATATCTCCTCCTCGCCAATTACGGTGACAAACTCAAAAAATAACGATTGATCTTTCATAAATTTTACACAAAATTCAATAATAATAAAATAAAATAAAATATTGAGAAAACAAGCCAATAATAATAATAATAAATAAATAAATAAATAATAATAAATAAATAAATAAAGAACCAAGCTAGGGATGCATTCTTAGGCCTTGGGAAACGGACACGTGTTGGTCGGTTTCTTTTTTTCAAAAAAATGAACCACAACTCGCTCGTGGTTTGTTTAACACACGACATGTCGTCGACTTATAATTTTCAACAAATTTGAGTTCATCGAAAAATCAAAATTACTAGTTTACGGCTTTCTAAATCTAAAAAACATTGCAATAAAATTAATAAACTCATCTAGAACTTTAAAAATTATTTTAATGTACATAAAAAACACAACAATTCAAACCAAATTCAAAAACTCAAAATATTTTGGATTCTCAATCTATCTCCTTCAACCATTTGATGACTTGTAAACATAAAAAACAAACTCTTTATAAACAAATTGAAGGAGAGGTCAAGGATTATAGTGGCCAAAATAAGCCTTGCTATGACTTTCTCTCTCCTCTTTTCTCTTTCTTTCTTTCTCTATTCTCTTTACATCTAAAGACCAAACTGTAAAATAAATAAAGTCGATATTATGCAACTCTCCTAAAAACAAGCGGGAGTTGTAACAAACTACAACACACTAGTATAGATGAGTCTTAGTTAATTATTCTATCTTGTTTATTAAGAGTTATAGATAGTTTTTAATATTAGTGTTTAAGTAAAATTGTTGCACTCTACTTTATCTACGAAGCATAATATTACTAAACATAAGTAAGACGTTGTCACAAAAAAATAAAATAGAAATATTTTTAGATAGAAAAGCTTTTCTCTAATTATTTAATTTGGTATCGAGTCTTGATCGTTAAAAAGTTTGAATCTCTTCACCTCCCCACTTTCTCTTTTTTGCAACACTATATCAATTGCCTCAAAAAATGCTACCTCTCCCGTAACTACAAAAAATCAAAATCCTCTTGATCCTACTTCACCCAAGTCTCACCAAATTATATTAGTTAGCTTACTAATTCTCACCATTTTATTTTTCTCAATTTAACTTCAACCAATTATATTTTCTAATGGACTCATATGACACTATTTTTAATGGGACATGGTTTTTCTAGGTTCATTGATGCGACGAATCGATGTCCACCCTCTTATACTCTTTTACATGAGACCGGCATGCTCCAACCAAACCCTTCATACATTTTTTTGGGTTCAATGAGACCAACTACTAATCAACAGAGGTTTTGCCCATCATAATTGATCGTCATACCGCTCATGACATTTGGATCGTGCTAGAGAGTGCTCTTGCCTTCACCTCAAGTTCTAAGGAGTCAAACAATATGGTTTTGAAAATGTCACTCTATATCTTCAATGTGCAAAGTCTTAAAGTAATTTACTCATTCATGCTAGCTATTTCAATCTTTATGTTTTTTTGTGGTTTATCGGGTAATTTTAAGGACTTGATAACCATCTTGAATGTGAGGACCGATCTAGTATGTTTCATAAAACTACATACTTTGCTTTTAAGTCATAAATTTTTAAATAAAGATTCTTTGCCATCTCGTTTCACTTTTTAGCATAAATATCATCTTTTCAACCACTCAACCCACTACAAACCTAAGTCGGTGTATAGAAGGTTCCATGATTGATGACCAAAACACCTATATCCGCTCTCTACTTGGTCATGGTAAAGGAAGAAACTAGAAGGGCCACTCGGCATGGTCGTTATTTTGAATGTCGACATAATTGGAATCAACACAACATAGATTACAAGTCGAGATGTCATTTGTGCAATTATGGGACCCATATAGTTGTTAACTCGCTCATAATAGTTTATTCGGTTTATTAATCGATGGCTAGCAAGGTAATCTATTCCCATCCTTCTCCTAGTTATCAATCTTATCCTTAGTGTCACGACACATGAGCCTCACATCATGTCACTCTTGACATAGACAGTTGAGCCATTATGAACCATATCGAGAAACAGACAGTACTGCAAATAGTTAATGATGAGCTTTTTTAATGCTAATATTTATACACTTATTAGGATTTTCTATATGTCTATTGTTTTGTGTGTTTCTTAAATTGCTAGATTTTTATAATTTTATTAAAAATTAGCCCAAAAAATAGTTTATTAGCGGAATTTTACCTTTCTATTTTTTGTTTAAAGGGCCAAGTTTAGCGAGATCCAAATTTTATTTAGACCAAGTAAAGATGATTTGTATGTCTTGTTGGATCTTCAAACCTAAAAGCTTTATTTGTTCGAGCATTTTTACAAGTTGAGCACTCCAGATTGGGACATCCGTATGGTCAAATTCTAAGATCTCGTTTTAAAAAATAAATCATTACCACATTTTGGTGGAAAAATTAATAATTAATGTGTTTTTTACCCTCTAGAAAAGTCTCATAGATTGTCTCATAGTACTACCAAACATTATAGTAACCATGTTTTGGATTTAATTTTTAGTAACGTATAGGGATCATCACCTACCCTTTTTTATTAACGGTAATAAATATTACATTGTTTTTATTTATTATTATTCTAAGTTTATTTGATTCTACCCCATTTGCAAAAAAAATGGATGTTTTAAATATTTTCTTTCAATTTTAAAATTTTGTTGAAAGCTAAGTTATTATAAAATTAAGAAGGTACAAACTGATTGGAGAGAGACGGTGAATTTTGGCCATTAGATAAACTTTTCAAAACATTAAAATTGATCATCATATTATGTATCCTCATACACATCAACAAAAATAGCACGATTGAACTTAGACATTGCCATATAATAGAAACTAGTTTAACACTACTAGAAAATGCTAAAGTCTCATCAAAGCTTTGGCATTTTGTTTTTTATATCGACCTTTTTTTATTTAGTAAAATGCCTTCTCAAATTCCTCAAAAAAAAAAAAATCATATTTGAAATTTTGTTTACTAAAAGCCTAATTATACATTCTTTAAAATTTTTTAGTGTCTTTGTTTTCTATACATACGATCTTATAATAAATATAAAATGGATTTTTGCACCATTCCTTATGTTTTTCTCAGTTATAGTATA